AGAATGAGAGACTAAGGTACTTGTAGCTGTTACCAGTCTAAATAATACTGCAGTAATTCTAAAGTCATGTGGAAAACCACAGTAGTTAACAAAAGACCTAAACCTAACTGAAACCACCTCTATGCTATTAAATTTTCCTAGTAAAGGCATGTCAAAAAGGACCTGAAAAAAGTCACATCCTTAATTAATAAAGTTACTTCAACAGCAAACTGCAGTATACACAGCAGTGCTGGTGAAGAAATATTTCTGTTAGTAGAATTTATGCTGTTCATGAACGTGGCTGACCCAAAAAAAAAAAAAAATAGAGTTTCATTAACGGGCATTGCTGGAATAGCTGGAGCTATCGAGGCTGTGAGACACACCCAGAGAAACTGCAATAGTGGAAAATCTGTCACAAAGACTGCACATTACTACAAACACTGGTTAAAATAACCTTTATTTGAAAAAGAAAAATCTCTCCAAATTACACTGTCTCCAAACTAACCTGGAGTTTCATTATTTAGCAAACTACCATAATGCTGTTGTAGTCAGTGACAACTTGCACCAGAGCAGATCTGTTTAATGTACTACAGCACAATTCTTCAACTCAGATTATTCTACCTGCAAGTATTCTTTGCTGTTCTGTCTTTAAAAGCTCAGGAAATGTTGTGTTCAGTATAGTATAAATACCCAGACATGTGTATCACTACACCTTTTTTGGTTGGGGGGGGGGGAAGCAATATTTTCAAGTATTATTTCTTGATTTACACGGCATTGCTTATAAATTAAAAATCAAAGTTTAAGCGGTCTCTGATCCTCTTTCCTGAGGGATGCGAATAACTCAGAAAAATAATATGAGGTGGTTCTATTCCTTCTTTAATTATGTATTTGGAGCTGCTCCAGTTTCTCTAATTAATAATAAATTATCTTTTCTCCAAAGTTTTGAAAAGAAACAATTTAATATAAAACACATATTTGAATAGTGTCAGTATTATGATTCCAAACAATAACATTCAAGAGCCAAAACATAAGGAAAGTATGGGCCTTGAAAATTTCAGTCGTAGCTGAAAACTTCCTGATATCATTATCTATACAGTGTAATTTTAAACCTGCAATCACATCTGAACAACTTTATTCCACAGAGGTCTACCTGAATACTATTGGGCATAATTACCCACACTCCTAGTTACAGGACCAGAGCATAGTTTATTTAAGATGTAATTCCTAGTTGTTACGAAATCCACAGACAAGAGAAGCGCATCATAAAAATTATCAAAAGCAATAAATATTTTGTGCATTGAAAAAAAACAACCCAATTTGTTAATTCTTTGAGGCATATTTATATGAATCAAAAGTATTCCTACAACTAATTATATTCCTACGGTTAATTATTAACTATGTATTTGAAGGTATTACCACTATCTGAACAATAGTGGCAAAAAAAGATCCATGTGAAATAACAGCTCATGTACAGGAGCATGATGCTTCTCATCTGTTTTACTCTTAGTTTCTCTTTTCAATAAAAGTCAGACTTCAAGTCAAAACAGGAGGCCAGCCACCAGCACAAGAAAATGCTGCACATGGTGAAATACATCTTAGAGAATTAAGCGCAGACAGTAAGACTTTGCTGTAGGCTAGTAACGCGTGAAAAGATGCAAGAAATTGTCTCATTGGAACACGGGGTTCAGGCGCAACATTTCACTTGTCAGCCCCAGTTTCTGGTACAGTCCCTAACATCTCTCTGCCCCGGCCAATTTGGGGTATATAAGCTCAAGCATGACGTGTTTCCTCAATCCATCACTTTCAGTACACAAGCTTCCTTAACAACTTTTAAGTTCTGAATGTCCTCAAGGAGCAACCAGGTTAACAGTTCTGACTTAGGCTGGCTTCTCATTTCAATGTCTCAAACGTGACGTCCTGGCTTCACAGTTAATAACATGCTTTGGACCACTGCACTGCAGTAATCTATGGGCATATCCAGCATATCCAGTGTCTCTGTGCCACCTGCACCGTAAAGTAAAAATACGTTTAGTTACATCCATTTGAGTAAGCTCCCAAAGACACTTCCTATTTCATGAGCATCTTTTCTTCCTGGTATAGGTATTGATTCCTCAGCCTTTGTCAAGGGTTTTATTTTGTTCAGGCAGCGAGACATTTCAAAGCAGAGCAGGAGGGCTGAGAGCTTTCAAAAGAGGAGGCACAGAGCTGCCCTACGATTTCATTTCAGTTTTGAGCGGTGAAGGGGATTGGGTGCAGTGAACTACAAGAAGAGTAAAGTTCCAGTCACCCTGTGCAATATCCTGGAGAACAAAGAGGAGGAGCAGCTTAACGTTTCTAGCAACTACTGGTGATCACGTCTCTGTACTTTCTCCTCACGTATCCCGCTTCAAGAATGGTTTGTTTAGTCTTTGTCTAAGGCTTTACTAATGCTTAAGTCCAGGATTTTCTGCAGGAAATCACCTTGTGCTAGACAGTTTTTATTAAGGTACTCACTCAATGTAAGTTTCTTACAACTTCCAGGTAAAACAAAGAGCAAACTTAATATCACAAGTACACCTAAGTGCACACAAACACCAAGCATTTCATTGAAATATGGAGAGTTTTTGAATGATGCTACCTTCATCTAAGTTCTATGAAGTCTTCAGAGAACCTATAACGTAGTTTTTGTTATGGTAGAAACAAGAAGCACGTCACAGTTCACAAACTAATCCTTAAGAAAATGAGAATGAATGTAGTCAGTTCTCAGGCTTGCTTTAACACTTCTTTAATATTGAGGGAGAAGCTTCTTCTGCTAAAAAGAACACACTCGTGGCTGGACAAAGCCCAAAAGACCTTCTGCATGACCTGAACAGAAGAGAGATCATCTTCTTTTGCAGATCTGGCATCATGATTTAAGTTCATGAGATGAAACTAGACTACAATACCTCTCTCTCCACTTTGCAGAGATCCGAGATCAGTGGCTCTTGCTTCACTTGAAGGCCCAACAGCCACATTCATGAGTTTCTCTCCTTCACAAGACTACATACTGTTTACATGTACTAGAATCAGCAAATAAGTCATCCCTGACAGTAGATGCCCCATCCCCAACACTGGAACCTAATACAACACCACAACTTCAGTGAATTCAAACTGAAATCAAGTTGAATGGGAAGAAGCTTAGTACTGTACCTGAGAAGATCTGCTGAACCCCAAAACAGAAAAACATTTTGCTTCTGTTTTGTATTTCATTTGCTCCTCATCTTCCTTGGAAAAAGGAACTATATCACTCCCATAGCGAAAGCCTGGAGAACAAGAGAAGAGCATCTGGTAAGCATATGGGCCTACAATGCTAACACTGAAATTAGCTCTCTGAATGTTTTAACAATGCATGCATGCCCCACCGCTACCTCCACACATGCTCATCAAATTATTTTCCCTGTTAACAAAAAAAACCCACACATCCCATAGACACATTTTGTACTTCACGAACATCAGTTGCACTCCTTGTACACCATTTTATGTAACGTAGCTACCCTTGTAGAGGGCAGGAAAGAAAATAAGGAAAATTAACATCTTGCCTAACACAGCTATGCTCACAGAATAGATTTAAGCAAATCAGAATAGATTTCAGCAAACAGACTCCAACACTCCCTGCAAACATAATACAAAAAGCCCAAACAAGCCACAAATCGTGGAAAGGAAATGACACCAGAAGGGATTCAAAGAAGAAAATGTGTTAACAGGGAAGAGACATACACCCTCACACACAATGGAAAACCAAAACACTCTTGTAGGCAGAAGTGGTCTTTCTACTCATTTCTGTGTTTTACTTCCTGTGCCTTACATTACAGGGATATCTCTACAAAAGAGGAAATTGTTAGTTTCTCAGAGGTATCATCTGTTCCAACTGCTTGTTCCCCTACCTCAAGCTACAATATCCTCCCTGTAACACCATCACCTTATTATACTGTCACAGGCTAAGGATGATACCTTCAGGTGCAAAGAAAGCAGAAGGAACAGAGGCAAACCCCTGGATGAAAAAACAATATGCAGATAGATGTATTTTCCAGGAAACTGAAAAGCATACGCACAGGCAGAATGAAAGAAACTTCAGTATGGGTGCTTCAAATGCAAAATATTGTCTAATTATGACATTTCTCAAAACGTCCACAAAAGTCCATGAGGCAGCAGCAGCTTTTTAACTGTAAGAAATATCACAACACTGATAGAGAAGTTTTTGGTCTCTCTTGTTCACATTGTGCTGTTCATCACTTCTTTTTACTAGTATCCTGCAAGCACTCACCAACTTAGGCAGTCAGGACAACAGCAGAGAATGGTCACAAATGCTCCAAAATATATTCACTATAAAAAGTGGATTTTTTTTTTTTTTTACTAAAAGTTTTGAAGTTATAAAACATAAACAGACTACTAGCTTATCATTATAATTTCTGCTTAAAGAAACAAAGAAAAATCACACTGTTGTTGGGACATTTTTATCTGCTACAAAACACCTTCACCACAATTGAAAGAGGTTAAATAAAAGTAGTACAGTATTTATCTTAATTTTTCAATTTATTTTATTAATTTAACATCACTTTCTATACTGTTGTCTGAATAGTTCTGCCCTTTATAGTTAATACACTTACCCTACTTGTGTGGGATTGAAACAGCAAAGGAAAGAAAAAATTTAGTAACAAACTATATCTATACAATCACAAAAATTAAACACATTTGCTTAACTCCATTTTTAAAAAGTAGACTATTTCATACTGTTTATGGAGCCTTTAGCCTTCTAAGGAATTTAATCCACTCGGAAAGATGCTGAAGGTTATAAAAGAAGTATTCTGCATACCACTACTTCAGACTGAACCTGTTACAGAATTTAAGCAGCAGAGCTAATAGACTCTTGAACACTAAACCTTCCTTTAACGGTTTCATCTTCCCAATTGCAGAATATCTAGAGCGGTTGCTTATCTAGAAAAAAAGCAGTTTTATGAAAGTATTCATGTTATCAGTGCAACTGAAGATTTGAAAACAGAATAGAGGTAGCAGCCCTACTCACTACAGAACTGCGGTATGGTCCTCCACAGAATACAGTTTAGGAAGCTGTAGTGCCTTCCAAGTTCCACCTGGTGGTATTATTATTATTCCTATTACTGGCAAAAGTAAGAATTTTTAAAATACGTGAAGACAAAGAGTCTCACATAAACAGTCTCTGTGTTCCATCAGCTTACAGAGCTTACATTCTAAGATCACAGCTAGGCTTCAAAGTATAGAACTAAAAGGCACTTAGGTGATTTAAAAGTACAAGCCATTATCTTTGGTTTGTCTTTAGGGCGCACATAAAGAAGTCATACCTTGAATAGTATCATCTTTCTGAACCTCTGTCTCATCATCATCATTCAAACAGTAAACAGTTTCTTTTTGCACATCATCTTTTCTGAGGGTTTTCGCATCCACAACTGTCCAAATTTTTTTCACCTTCTCTTCTGTGATCTTTATATCAGAATTCAAAGAAAAGGAATGTTTAACATTTCAGCGGGATCCAGAGTGCTTATCAGAACAAGCAAAAAATTCTTAGACCAAGTGCTGCGTTATTTTGCCAATAAGGAACTAATAATGACATCCCCAAATATGCATCTCTGACTGGTATTACAGTGCTTTCAGCACACTATTTCTTCTGTATGAGATCTAACACCTGAACTACTTCACACTGACTGCAAACTTCTCTTGGTTATTCATTAAAGTCATGGACTAAGTCATTTGTGGAAGCCTTTTAGTCACAGGATAACACGTAACTTACTTGCTATGTATTTCACTTCCTCCACTTACATAACTGCTTTTGACAAAGCATTAAGATATATGTTAAAGGTACAAGAAGAAGACTCGATGTTCATTCAGCTTGTTTGCCCAAGTTTTGCATCAGGCTTACTACACTATAGGATAAAAATACCCTATGGTACTGCAACTTCCCCAAGAAGTAGAAAGAGTTCCCAGTTGCATTACAGGACTGGGAGGGAAAAGAAGTATCTGCAATGAGTGAATGCTTCCGAACTACAGGGAAAGAAAAATGCTTTCCTTTCTCTCTACTTAAGTGAAATTGATGGTATACCTAGTAAATGAGAAGAAAAATGGAGAACTGGGTAGAAAACAAAGACGACAGAATAGACTACGTCAGTAGATACCACAAATCTGTCCCTAGCTCTGGTCCAACTGCTGTATGACCTCAGGCTAGTCACTTGGTTCATGTTGCTTACTCTCCCAAGCGTCATTTATTTTGTGTGTAAACACCTTTGGGAGGGAACTCTTACTGCATATTTGTACAGGTCTGGCACAATATCCTAATTAAAAAAAATATATATTAATAAGTATAAATAGAAAGTTGACAGCAGAGATTCTCTTTCAAGGCTAGTATGCCTACTTCTCAGAAGCCAGATATATTTCAATTTCACAATATATCTTCCTGAAACATTGCAATATTGGCCAGACTCTCAGTCTTGGATTCAAATAACGAACCAATTAATCTCCATCTCATCAGATCCATCAATGCTGCCATGCTATATAGTTACCTACTAATTACTTAGTAACTGGAATTTTGCAATTTCTGTGTTCAAATACACTTACTTCTTCCTATCACTGTATGAAAGACCCGTACAAACTGTAAGGGAAACAGACTGTGCACAGGCTCTGCCAAACAGTATAAAGCAAACAAGCTGAAAAATATACCTTTTTTTCCAAGTCTGAAATAACAATAGATGCAATTTGAAACAATAGCTGGTAAAGCATTTACACCCTCCGTTTTACATATGTGTGTAACTCCTCTCATGCCTTGGGCTTAAGAAATACATACTAAGTTTCACTGAGCTCCAGACATATCACTGATGCCAAATGGAAAGCCACACACAAGTGCAGAATTCTTAATCAGGTTCGTCAGCTTCCATACCATTAAGTGTCACAGCGTAGACAGCAATTACTTCTATTTCTGTACATCGTGAATTTTAGTTCTTTAACATATGTGTACAATATGGTGAAGTTAAAGTTGCTGTGGGAACCAGTTTCAGATGTACTGGCTTCCATGCACGTAAAATCTCTACCGTAATTATTTTGGATGTTGTTTTATCTTTTATTTTCTTCGCTTTAAGGAAAAAACCATGCAGCTGCACCTAACTTGCTGCCAAAATACATACACTAAAACACACCATTTTGTGAACTTACTGATTTGTAGGCCACAATCCTTATAGACAAATTAGAACCAATAGTGAGCTGGCAGGGCCAAGCCATAGATTTTCTTTCTATTTTCTTAAACATCGAAAGACGCTCCAGGCTCTCTCTAAATGAAGGAATCAGGAAAGCAGAAATGAAATCTAGTGAACTGTAATAAAATACTACAGACAATACACCCTCTTCAAGGAGATGCAGGAGTCCAATTGTTTCAGCTTAGCTGGCATAAAGTATTAGAAAATAAACTGTATGAATAATCTTGTCATTAACTATTGTCAGAAAAGAGACTGAAAAAAACAGGTGGTACAGTAGATGATTCCCATCTCAAGCCTTTGTGATGGTGTGACATTAGGGCTTAAAGACAGTATGTCTTTATGTGATGAAACTACACGATTGCTTCTTAAGCATTTTACATTTATCTGTGCTTACTCAATTAAGGCATGTAGTTAGCTGAATAACCCAAATTAGAAAAGGCTTCTCTAAGTGGTAAAATGCTTTCTGCAGCAGAGGTGAAGAAATAAAGAATCCAGTTCCAATTAACAGGATTTTGTTTGTGTGGTAATTAACTTTTGACACTTCTTTTTTTATACAGTACTAATGAACTCATCATTTTTGAGGCATTCAGTTAGAGTGAAACAAGTTACTTTGAGTATTTCTAGCCTAAAGAGTATATATATGCAAGTTCACAAAGTTCATAAAACACAAAAAAAAACAGGAACTGTAATGACTTTATACTACAAAGTGTTAACTCAATTGCACAACTTTAAGCAATGGAGTCCAAAAATTAAAAATTGACAGTGAAAGTAATTTATAATATATTTTTGTGAAATCAAATAGGCTTGCACCCCAGAACAGCTTTCAGCTAACACAAACTTTATCAGCTATTTTGGTATAAAATTCCAGTGCAGAGAAAGCGCTCATAGATTTTTTTTTTTAATTGCATGATGAAGTAAAGATAAAACAGTGTTGGCTTTACCTTTTCCACATGATGATAAAACCCAAAGTCTACCTCTCTCTTGATTAAAACACTTGTCTGGCAGAAATTAAGACCAAGCCCTAAAAACATTAGTACAGAATTCAACTTGGTATTCTACTTTTCAACTTTCTTAGGATGAGCAGGGTGGGTTTTGGTGGGTTTTTTTTAAATCTAACAAAAGCACAATGAAAGGAGAAAATGCACTGGGATATTCATACTGAGATAAACATTGTATTTCATTTTTCATTTTTTTTTCCTTGAGGAAGGGAGGAAATATTGCTTTTTCTGACAATACAGACATCAAAATAGGATTTTTAAAAAGAATCTGTTACTACATCATTAAAACTACTGCAACATATACATTCAAGGGTGAATGTGAAAATCAAATGTCTAAGCGTCAAATGCCTAAAAATGTCATTTAAGCTCAATTTATTAACTCTATCCTTTAATTTCTTATATTTATAGAATAAAAATGCTCTTTGTTATCAAAGAAGATTCAGCCAATAAAACCCTAGTAAACGTGTATTTCAAGTTGTATTTTAAAAACAAGTTTCTTCTCCTCTGCTCTGCAATCCCTTCCTCCAAAATCCAGAGGCAGCGGAAGTACTTCCTGTCCAATAGTCAGAATATCAAACCCTAAAACAATACAACAAAATTTTCTCACTCACTTTGCTGTCATGACTAATCTATTTTCACAAAAGTTGAAATGTTTTTTCCAGCAGGAATAATGAATATAGGAAAACAGAGCATGTATCTGAGTTGGTAAATTATCATGACAGATTTGCCAGGCTGACTTCTTAAAGCCTGGTAAGCAACTTAACTGCATCTAAAACCTCATATACTCTTGAACAACTTAACTAAAGCTTTAAGCTATTAGCCAAATGCCTATTTATCCAAAGATTTTGTATTTTCCCTGAAAGCATGGCATAAAGACATCTGATACAGTAGCAGGTTCCTGCAACAAAAAAAAAATAAAGAAGGGGCCAAGTCACATAGTAGCTTCATGCATATGGATTTATCCTAAAGGATAAATGGGCCCAGACAGATACTGTTTTTCTGTGCAGTCTTTTGATGCAATGACAAAGTGTGCTTTTTTCCAAGACTCAGAATGCTCTGTTGACTAGTATGGAACACACACACAGTTACACGTTTCTTCATTATTCCACACTAATGCTCAAATAACAGTTTAACTGGCTGCTGAGCGGCAAAGCTGATCAGTTGGGCAGGACCAGGGAAGGAAACCCCACAAATAAAATGACAAATAGCAGCATGCAAACCTACAGATACCTGATCTAAAAATTACGCTTGACAATCATGCTACAGCTATGGTCTACTAAGTTTCCTGAAAAACATATTGTCTAAAAGATCACACTTCATAATTGTAGAATAGAACTACTAAGACAATAAAAATCAGGCTTTTATAAGGCATATAGATGCATTTTGCTTGTTTCCCAACAGAAACAACACTTATGTGGAAAAGTCTTGGTTATTTCATTAGCTACAGCTTTTCAGAGACACACATATACTTCTATTCTTTCATTGGGGAAACAAAGTGAAAAATCATCTTTCAATTCTTGCATCAGGAATGCTGCTAAAAATTGTTCGGCGCAATGGCACAGTGATTTTTTTCTTTAAAGACAGATACAGAAAATTCATTTTCCACTGAAATCTGTAAGCTTTCCTACCTATTCTAAAGACACTGAAGAAACTGTTTGAAAGGGAGTGTACTGTAAGTTATAAAATTAACTGACTTCAGTGAAACTGGAAGCCAAGTGACTGATTACTTAATTCGTTTCATCTTTTGGGGAAAAAAAATCAGGAAGTAAATTTACAGTGTCATAAAGAGAATTAGCCAAATTTACCTGAAAGTATAAATTTCTTCCAGCCCTCCTCCTTCATCCAAAGTATGCATTAGTTTCCTCACCACATCAATGCCTTCCTTCTGTTGCTCAGTTAAACCCTTTCTTGGAAAATAGTTTCTTTGCATTTGAGAACGTACAGTGGCACTTGTATCTCCACCTCCATCATCAACATTCACTGGAAATGGCAGACTAAGAACACAAGCAGAAGCAGTTAGTTTTACTTTCTTCTTAACTAAAATAACCAATCAAAAACAAAACAAAAATTGTATCAAGATCAACAATATCTATCTAGCTGCAGTAACACGTATAAAGGCTTGTGAAACACATGAAGTAGTACTTCAGATCTACTTGGCATTGGTAACATCTTGACCAGGGTGCTGCACCACTTCTGGGCATCATACATCAATAAAGATGTCCACATGCAGGAAGGGATTAGGGGGTAAAGACAAGATCTATGAAAAAAGACCGAACAAAGTAAAGCCCATAGAGAAGGGAGTCAGAGGGCAACGCAGCCTTAAATATAAAAAAAGACTGTTGCAGACAGGAAGGGAACAATCAGTTCTTCATATTCAGCCTGCACTCAAACTACATCATGGAGTCAGGTCAGACGTTCAAAAACCCAGTAAAGGCATTTCAAACCATAATTTCTAAAACCAACTGCCTGAGGAGACAGAAGAGTCTCCGTCACTGGAAACCTTTATGAAAAGATTAGACAAACACCACTCGGCAATGACATACATAAAACCGACCCGGTCCGAAGCAGAGGACTGCTCTAGATGGCCTGCTAAAAGGCCACTCCAGGCCTGCGATTCTGCACCAGCTCTAAACGCCAATAAACGGGCCTTTCTCTGCAGTGGGGCTATTAGGTATTTCGGGAATAAATGGTACTCTTTGAGACTTTAATACCTTACACCACTGGGTGAATTTGTGACTGAAGATGACACATTTTCCTGCACTTCAAGAACCAGATTTAAAAATTTAGTCAGGGGTTATAGATAAAATGATTTTGCTGCTCTTCAAAACATAACAGAGTTAAAATTAAGTATAATAACCACAGGAAAGAGAGATGTGTAAGATCCTCTACTTTGCGCCCCCAACAATGCCTGCAGATTTTTCAAATCTTTTGTCTGATCCAATTTTAAATGAATCACATACCTTTTACCACATTTCCACGAAGTAAAATAATTTCAGCATTGTAGTATGTTTTCAAAAAAGCAGCCTACAGATTTCTACCATACTTTCACCTTGTTAGTCCTCACTAAACTTATCTCTGGAGTAACATATGATAAGCAGAGTTAACAATATGCACAACAACATCACATACAGCAGAACTAAAGATCAAACTCCAGCAAAGTGTTTGGTATCTTTTTTGGAAACAGCATCCACTGACAAACAGAGAAACTGTATTTCAAAGCTGTTACGAGAGCAAAAAGCTTCAAATCTCTGATACATAAAAGTCAGATTACTTTCATTATACAGCGCTTAGAGACTCCTGTGATAAGAACTGTGTAACACTCAAAGCTACACAGCACTCAGTATGTGCTCGGCGCTTGGTAACAGGGAGGAAAACCAACTACCTGCCACAAGTTAAAACCTGATCAATAAATAGGGCATAAGAGATGGAAACATCGGTTATAACAAAAGGACAAGGTTTAGCGGTGTTATCTTTCAACCAGTATCCTGAGTATTTTACATTTGTACATGTACTTCTCAAAGCATCGTTTGCTCATACGGCTGGAAGACAGGATGTAAATCTGCAGCTGATGTTACAACAGAATCCTTTCTCTAGTGCTTCTACTAGCCATGGGACTTCTCCTTTGCCATGTTACAAAGAAACTGTAAAGATGTATCTGAAATCTCACAGAATAAAACTGCAACATCAACCTGGGGCAGTACCATCTGTGCTAGTCTGCATAGCAAACTACACACATGGAGACAAGGTAGCAGGCTCTAAAATGCCAGGTCTCTGAAAGATGTAACTCTGGCTGGCAGCATGTACTCAGGTTCGTGGTATTGTGTCTCCTCTGCCTCCAGTGCCAACAACAGCTTAAATAGCCTAGAAGGGGCTTGTCAAGGCACGTTGCAAGCCTACCTTCTTTTGCTATGCAGACAGAACCTGAGTAGTCTGACATTTTTACGTTCAGCCTCTCCCAAGCAAAGTGTGAAAAAGAATTTTTCTGTGGAGGATCAGCCCATGATTTTCAGTCACGCTTTCCTACCTAACCCCTCTGTTGTCTTGCAGGTGGGTTCACAAATGACTTAATTAATTTATCAAGCTCAGAACATTGCTCCTTACAGAATGCTGGATCTAGCTGAAAGTAATATTAAAACAATCAGAAGTAAAACTGTGGCTTTAACTTTCTCCTGTGAAACTATTTGTTATAAATAGCAAACATTAACATTCACAAAGTTTTGCTTTCAAATAAAGTCCTACTAGAAGGCCTATAGCTTCCTATGTTACCATCATGTGCAATGACTACAGATCTCAGCACCACCACTGATTCTTCAGATCAATGCCTATACCAATTGAGACAAGGGATTCCTGTTATTATAATTAAGATATTGCTTCCATTTTCCTCTTCCATTTTCCAAGCCCATCACCGTGAACGTATAACCCTTGTCCTCAGACTTGCTTTTCTACTGACACCAGAATCAGGCTATAAACACCTGCAACACTACCTCATTATTTCTTCCCAGTAACCTCCTTACTAAAAAGGATCTAGGCTGCTGCTGTGCCAAAACCACTGCTTCTGAGGCTATTTCTGGCTCATTGTTTCCTACTTCTCTGCTTATATAGATCTTTAGTCTCCAGTTTTAAACTTTGGCTCTAAGCTATAAGCTTAACTGGAGAGGAAGCCATCATCTTAAGGTGTTTTTACCCATGACTTAATCACGGGGACTCGGTTCATAACTGGAATTCATGGCATGTGTAATTGATATAAGTACCTATATCAATCATATTGCATACTGGTACATCCCTATAGAAACAATATACCAACAGATCACCAGCTCCTTCAAGATCATTATTAAGAAAGAATAAAAATTTCCCTTTAAAAAACAGCATAGTATATAACAGCCACTTCCATACTTACAAAAACTGAAGTGAAATTCCTGTTTTCTTCAAGTTAGCAATGATAATTTCCAGCTGATCCTCACTGACAGGACTACTAAGGTCTGTAAACAGTTCGATGTGTCTCTTCTCATATTTCTTTCCTCTTAAAATACAAAAAGAACATTTACATATATCTGAAATATTATCTAGAAAGCCTTTTCTAATTCTTTCCTTAGAAAACTGAAGCTTTACCAAAGCAATATACTTGTAAAAAAAAAAAAAAAAACACACAAACCTGCTTGGCAGAACTTGCTCTGTCATTGCTCATGTTATTCATGGTAAGTTTTTATCTTTACAATTCCCCTTACTCACTCCTACCCCCTAAAATTGAGGATTCTAGCCCTGTGACTGTATAAATCACTAACTACATCTAAATGAATAGAATTCTGCCAATTTTCACCTAAGTAGATAAAATGCTAATAAAATATTTTAGATTGTTTATTGATTATACTAGATATTTAATTTGCAGCTGTCAGTCTGTCCTTGTGAAAATGGAAAATGTCTCTTAAATTACTGTTGCTGGTGGGGGTTCCATTTCACCAAGCTAATTCAGTAGATTCATTGGATAAGATAGACTTTAAAGTCTACTTAATACGCTAAGAAGTAGTAACAATAAACATCAGAAAGTTTTGCCAGCTGCAGAACAAAATTCAGTTAAACTGATATAGTTTTTATCTGGATATTCAAGCATAGGGGTGATTTTCTTGAATTTGTACCTGATGGAATTTTCTCAACTGAAGGTAAACTCCACATAAAAGAGTTTGATGCATACAAGCAACTTACCCACAAGATAACAAAGGCAGTTGCTCCGTAGGTATTCAAGGTTATACTGCCATAAATACAGTTACTTTCATTCACAACTCAGTTTTAACTGTTAAATTGATACAGCTTTCTGAGCGGATTAAACTTTATCCATAAAAATACAAATTGCATCACATAGTCTAGTCTTCTGCATTCACAATTAGATCATATGATCTTTTTAACATGTTCAATCTGTTTTGAAAGGAAGTAAGGTTATCTTCCTTTCCATGGACCATCAATTCACTGACTGTTAGAAAGTCACGTTTCCCATCTAAGTACATTCACTGACAACTCTGTAACACTTGTGCCAACATTTTCTTACAGCTTAAGCAGTGTTTTTTTCCCACTGCACATTTATCTCCCACAGCCTGCATATTTACAAACAGCCACCTTATCTCCAACAGCCTTTAATTTTCTAGGCTGAACTAACTAACCTTTCTAGTTTTGTTTCCTTTTTTTCTTTGTAAGATATGTCACCACCCTTATAAATCTGGTAGTTCTTTTCTATGCATTTTAACATCCGAATTAATGTTTTTTGAAAACAGATCACAAGAAATGTGACACTACGTGAAGTCTTTGTGCCTTGCATAACAGCATTAATACTCTCATGAATCTACTGCAAAGTTCACAGTTGCATCAGAAAGCTCTTAGATTGTCTGGAGAAGCTAGATGTCTCCTGGAGACTCTTCAGGAACAGGCTCCTGTAGTGTTGTTTGTTCTTAATGCTGGTGGTTGTTTTTTGTTTTGTTTTTTTAAAAAAAGGATTTTCCATATTTACACAATTATGTAAATCTAATACTGACAAGAAATCAGGTCAGCTCCAAAATGCAAGGTCAGAATTCTGTAAAAGGCTCTGGGTTACATACTCACATTGTTTCCTTCTGAAGCAAGTCCATACACACAATAATTGCATCCAGAACTAAGCAAATTTAAGAAAAATCTCATTTAGAACATGAATCATGTCACAAAAGTGTTTTTCCTATGCAACAATCTGATTTCACCCCCAACATGTTTCCCAAACACTGACAAACATGCTTTTTACTTAACAAGCAATTTTTTGAGACAAGTACTCTTCAAGTACCTACTGTGCAAGAGGTTTCTATACAACTTGTCTGTTTTGTTATCTTATCTCTTTCGCCTTTATCTGACAGAACAGTAAAAAGACTGCTTCAGGGCCCAATCTCTTATCTGTCAATGAGGAGGCTTGAAGTTCAAGGAAAGAACAATCTAATCTTTACAATAATTAGCTTGAATTGACAAACAAAATTTGCTTGTACTTTCAATACATGATACCATTTTCTCACGCAAGTTTTCCTTCAAAACATCTACATCTGTCAATCTCTTGATAGTTTATTCCTCATCACAGCTCTCATTGGCAACATATTTTTATCACTGCGCACAAATCTGCCCACCCATTGAAGAAGACTGCTTCTGCTAAGATACAGCTGACTGGCTGCACACTTCTCTGAAACAGCTGACAGTCTGAATAGAGCTCATAATCATGTTATGGCCAGAAAGAGGGAAGACATCACAGGAAGTTGAACAGCATGTTGAACAGTATGCAAATGAAACACATAAAGGGACACTACACAGATCACCTTCTTTTAAAACTCTTCACCTTATGCAACTAACAACAGAATACATTCAAACATGAACAACATTCAGACCAGCAATAGATATTTGGCAATGTTAGAAATACTTTATACAGAAATCAATCTTATAAACTTCTATCCTGCTTTGTCTGGCATCTGGCTCTTCTGCTGATATATTTCGTAAATAGGATTTTTATTTGATGAAAAACCATAAACCAAGTCCTACAACACTATTTGTAAACACAAAGGCCTTATTTAAGGCCTAAAATTATATTATTGCTATCTCTGCTCTCTTCAATTAACAGCACACTTCCTAAAAGCAATGATTCCCTAAGGCCAAGACTCCATCTGCTAGCCTAAAAGAATGTCAAAAAGCAGCTAATTTGCTTTTGAACAAACCTACAACCACAAATTAGCTGAACTCTGATAGTAGTTACAACTTTGGAGGCAAATCTGAGCCTGTTTCACAACACTAACTTCCTGTCTCCTATATAGCTGAATCAGTTCAAGAAGTGCTCTACAGCAAAAGGATACAGTCTGCTTGTTCAGAGCCTGGTTTAATCAAATCTTGAATGTCTTCCAGCAGATCAAAATCTGGTAGCATTAGTGACCTATGTACAGTAATGTTTTGGTATTGATCCCCACTGGCGAGGTCATTCCTAGTACTATCTGTACCAAACAAAACTACAGCAACTTCATCTTTACTCTCAGCAAAAACCTGGAAAAGAGAAAATACACAGCACGTATAAAACCACAGATAGATTCATGCACAACTGTGTTAGACAGACTCGATCAAGCTGAACTAGTTTTGAAAAAATGTCAAGTACAGTGGATTTACTTTTTTCTGTGCTATCCTACCAAAATGTAATCTTACAGAAAGTTCACTAATTTAGGTATAATCAAAATAGCAGATTGAGATGAGAATATCTGGGATAAAACAAGTAAAATTGGCTGACTCCATTCCTGAAATGAGTCTTCAGCATGGTAAATCTTACAAAGGTTGAAATATTTTAGAGAAAGAGTACTTTTTTCCCCTAAAAGTTTCTACTGTCCTAAAGAAAAAGAGCAATGAATCCAACTGCCACACGTCCACAAAAGTACAGCTGAATCAAAGAGCACTTACTCCTGCATAAAAACAGACTAATTTTTACTCATTTCTCATTTATTTCAATTATTAGTATATGAGGAAAACATTTCACAGATATCATTGCTTCCTCCTTCTTTTTAACAGTTTTTTATTACATGCAAAGTCACGCTTACCTGTCTCTGCACAAATTTTGTCATAACCTTCTTGGCTTGCTCAAGTGAAGACTCCTCACCAGAGGCAGAATTGCTCATTGTAAAGCCTACATCCAGGCACAGCACTATGGCTGCCTAGAAAGGAAACACAATACTGAATAAGAACATAAAAGGGTCAATATAAGCATAATTACTAAAAAGTGATAGTTTGGATCCTTGAACATACAAGACCTAAAAATCATACTAGGTCACCATCAGTTTCTTTTACAGTAACTGCTAATGTGACACAATGGTGGAGGACAGAACCAGTACAACTATACTGAACTAAGAATCATTTAATTCTGCACCATGGTCCAGGCATCTCAGTGAAAAATACAAAAAATCCTATATTACACAATAACCTGTCAAAAGGGGCAATTTCTATTCAATCCCGTGAACATCTTATGGATCTAAGGGCTCTTCTATACTAGGAAATAAAACAGGCATTTCGGTTGACAATTACCAGCACAACACAACACAGTACAGAAGCACAACACAAGGCAGAGAGACAAGAAGGTTCCCTAAACCCTACAGCTACATCCATCCCTCGCAGTAGCCCGTAATAGCCGCAGACCACTGTTTGGTCTAACCCACAAATGTAAGAATGACTGCACTTCTGTGGCTTCCAGGGAGAGTTGGAACATTTGCTGCTACCAGAGGTGTTTCTGCAGGGAGCACTGGTGCCTGCAGCACGCAGCTATGCTCTTAATGCCTCAGAAGGATGAGTTCTGATTTCAACTTAGGGTCTTGAATTCCACAAGCTGATATATGTGTTTGTATTTCTGATCATTCCTTTAACTGATCTATATACAACAGTGCCCAAGTCTCCCCCTTAACTGATTTATAAACTAGCATATGAATAAAATAAAATTACTTCTTGTGAGTTCTCTTGTTCAGCATTTATTAATAATGAATATTACCTGCAGTGTACTGCCCATTCAACTAGTTTTGTTAAGTTCCTCTAAAGTTCTTCCACAGACTCTACGTACCTTGATTACCCAGAGTAATTTTACCATCCAGCTGAATGAAGCTGCACAAGGAATTAACCAAAATTATGTCCTGCATCTTCAAGGACACTGACAAAATGCCAGCTCAAATTTATTGCCACTGATTAAACCAAGGTTCTTTAAATATACATCAAAATCTTGCCTGGTAGACAGCCAGTAGCTTAAATTACACTGCATACAAAAACTTGTTTGCCAGAACACAGGAAAGTTAACTATTACCTAGTTTGGAGTCAGTCACCTTGTTTTAAAAAACAAAATACATCCGATTCTCTAAGAGGTGAAGCTGCCAAAAGGACGCAGGCAATAAACCAGAAGATTGAGAATCAAGCGACATGGATGCACGGTCAGCTTTCACAAAACAAAAGGGATGAACAGAAAAAAAAAAGTGTTGGTTTAAGCTCTTTTGCATATGACCATGCAAATAACTCCAACCATCTTTTTAAACATCAACCAAAAGAATCTGATTCTTTTTGTCACCCAAATAGGTATTTCTTAAAATCAAGTTTATAGGAATAATTTGCCCAGATTAGTTGTTTAATGCTCTGTACTAGCAGCTCTCAAACTATTTTCTTATCCTCCTCCTTTTCCAAAAATACATTGTGCACCTCCCCCACCATTTTAACAAGCATTGGTTTAGCTCCCTGCATCCTCCCAGGACAGGATACAAGAGGAAGAAGGAAAAAAGGCCGAGCACCAGTGCTCCACATGATGTCCAGTTGGTTATACTCAGTCTCAACACTCTGTTCCTCACTCAGCCTTCACTGGTGGCTTGCCTAGGAGCCAGAAATGAATGCCTTTGAGGCAACTACATCTGCAGAAGCTTACAGTGGAATAGAGGCAGTAACTGAGACTGCACTAGGTTCTCATGAGAGTCTTGTTACTGCTCACCTGCCAGCCTGAGGAATTACGCTACCAGCATCAGCAACTGCAGACCCTCAGCTTGTTGCTGTCCTGCCTCAAGACACATTACAGCTGGCAGCTGAATTAATTCTCTTGTCCAAAACAAGTAAAATGCTCTTCACAGCTGGCAAGATGACAGCAAAGAAATCAAACAAGTGCAGGACTGAAGAGGTGCTGTTTTGCTTAAGAAAAAATGATCAAGTGGCAAGAATTAACAATGCTCTTCTGGAAGGCAGCAAACTCCAAGCCCAGTACCTATTCAGGTATGTAGAATCCTCCTTCAGGAAAAGGGCAAGTCTCTCTTTTGGCAATCTTCCTCTATATGCCTCTTCATCTCTTACTGGCTTCTGTGCATCTCACTTCTGAGCACCCAGTACTGCCATTTCCAGGTGCAATATATGAAGCAACACTTTTAGGACGCTCAGCACGTGTGATTGTAGGACCACATTGTCACGGGTGAGCTAACATCAACCTGCTTTGCTCAGGCACTGATAAGGGCGAGAACAGAACGAGCCTGGCCGCCCGGCGGGTGCTAAGGCCGGTTGCGAGGAAGCTGAGGGAGACGCGGCTGCAGCAGCGCTTCAGCCTGTGCTCAGCCGATGTGCCCGAAACTGCCGCGTATCAGAGGAGACCCTGACGCAGCTTTCGCCGGCAGCATTCCTTCCAGGCACCAGACAAACGAACTG